CTTGATCTATGCAAATTCTTCGCTGTGCGAAGAGTGAGCTATATTAACCATTTCACTGCCTTGAGTTACTCTTGGGTTAAAATGTGACTGATAAGATGAAGATGTAAGTCTGTTTCATAAAACGTTTCTAGCTGTTAATATCAAAATTAATTTATTAGATTAGATTTTTGTCTGTAACGCATGATGTCATTGTTTTTTGCCTGTTATTTTAGTTATTTTACATGGTTTTTTTTCTTCCATTCAGATTATCCTGCTTTTTCAGCACTAATTACTCCAATTTAAATTAATTATGGATGTTATTTTAGTGTTAGTTATATTAATGTTATATCTTATTTGTACAGTTTGTTTTCAGACAATAAATGTGTGTGTGTATATGTGTGTGTGTGTGTGTGTCAGTGTGTGTGTGTGTATATATATATATATATATATATATACAGATTATTTTTCAGTTGATTTCCAGCTTTGGCCCCTAGTGGCCCATGGATAAAAAAAGAGAAGGAAGGGTCAGTTATAAGGTTGAGTTCTTTCAGTGTTTCCATGGCAACTGACCTAATGCAAACCCTAGTGGATTTTGGAAAGCTCCCCAGGTGATAAACTCGCTGTCCGTACCATCAATCCCAAGCCTTGCAGAACCCCAGAGTGCCTCATTGTCAAAGAGCAGTTTTGATAAGCATCTTTTGTCCCCTCTGTGCCAAGGTAAGGCTCGCAGACCTCATTTGTGCGTTTGGAGCCCAGGAGCGAAAGGATAGTCCCGTTTTTTTTTTTTTTGCCTGACACAGATCGGAAGCACAGCCTCCAGGGAAATAAATGAAGGGAGCTCAGACATTTCCTACTGGATTAATTAGAAAGTATGTAGGAGCAGGAAATATAGGGCAGGCAAAGGATTTAATGCTTTAGAAACAAACAGAGGGAGAAAAGGTTTTGCGGAGCACAACATTTCACCGATTCAATAATAAAATATACTGAGAATGTAGTGCTTTAATCATCATCAGATATACCTACTGCAAAATCACTAACTGTAATAACACTCTTGGCTAGAGACCCTTTTATTTATTAAAGGTTTGCAACCTATAAAAACTAGGAACTAAAAGAATCAGACAAAATAAATCATATTTACAGCATTAGTTTTGGATTTAGTAGCAAAATACTATATCTTTTCACTGTATTGTAATCTGAATGTCATATTGTCCGCTTGTGACATTACAGAAAGCCAGCCTTGGGTCTCAGAGATGTAACAAAACAAGGTACCATAGAGACTGTGAATGGTGTGTCATATTACAGTCTAATGAGAGGGGCGCTCTCCCAACAATCCTACTGAGCATATATGTGTTTGCTCTTTTCTCGATTCTCAGCCATTAGCAGGCTGTAGATTGGCACAATTAAAAAAGCAATTGATGCATCAGCTAAATACTTTATTATTAATTACACTGCAAGCCCACCAGGAGGTTGCTGTAATTGACACAGCCCATAAAATTGATAAGAAACGTTGAATGCATCTTGCCTTGCGACGCATTTACATGGCTGGAGGAATCTTAAAGTAACTCGATTTTCTGTTTTTGCTTTTTTATTTTTATGTTTTATTTTATGGCATTTAGACGGGTATACGCTTGCGAATAAGATGCAGCCGGTTTCAAAAAATATTTACGTGTAAATCGAGAAGATGTTCTATCAAAGATGTCAGAATACATTGAATCTTTCAGACGCTGCTCTTCCAAGTTTACTGCGCTCTAGGAATCTAAATGCATTCTGAGCCTAGGTGCCAAGCGAATGCATTTGAAGAATGAGTATTGTGGAGGCAGACAAGGGGGCATTGCCTCAGTAACAAGCACTAAATTATGTGCCTAAAAAAATTATACAAATTCCTGCCTTTGACATCTTTAAATACCGCCCAGGTTTCACCTTCAGGATGCACATAATCGGCTCTGATTCCTATTGGTTCCCCTCCCCTCTAGACCGTTATGGAAATAAGTAGTTGTCTGTCAAGGATCAAATGCTTTTGCAGACAAAAGTAGGTAGTGAGAACATTGCAGGATACTATCATCTCCCCATGATATTTGTGCACAAAGCTGTCTCTGTGCCTCTTTTGGCCTGACATAGTTTCAGCCTGACAGAATCCAGCAGGCCTGCTTGTTTTAAACATGAACACATCCTATTATTTTTTTGAGTAGTGAAGTGGAAAATGAATGCTTATTACTCTGCTATCCGCTTTAAAAAAAAAAAAAAAAAATCTTATTTGTATCACTCAGTGCTAATGGGTCCTATTTAACCTGTTCAGTTTCTGTTCGCTGAAGGGGTTAAACAGGTTTAAATGAAAATTTTCAGGATGGTAAGCATACGTAACCATGATTAAAACCCACACATTTGTCGACCTAATGTATGTGTTTAAATTTTTAAAAAAAAAAACCCAAACAGGATGTGTATTTTCAGAATCGGATTATATCACTGCCCGATAAGTAAATGGCACAATTAAGTGGAAAATGATTAAAATTAATGTGTCTGTACGTGTGTTTATATAATATCTAAATGTAAAATAACAGAAGAAATTTGTATCTTGTAATACTTTCTTGAGAACTCCCCTTACTCAAGTCTAAAGCATTTTTGAGTCACTTAGACTTGACTTTAGACTAGTGGAAAGGAGGCTCTCCTGAAAGCTTGTCATTGCAAACTTCTGTTAGTCCGGCAGCTATAAATACCCTGGCAACCCCCTCACTGGGGCTGCCGCCTAGCGATTCACCATTCTGGTTTCTTAGAGCCAAGTCCATTTCCTGGGTGCCATGCTCCACAACCTTTCTGGTCCTGTTCCAATGCCTGCTGGTCCATCCAGTCCTCTCGCACCTCATGACATATTCAGCCGTCACTCTGGTCCCCAGCTCCAAGACCTTCAGCGCTGTCCAGTGAAGGTCCAAAGCAGACCATCCACCGTTCAAGGTATGTTTTCGGGGCTCACGTGACCCTCTCTTGGCCACTGCCAGTATTATAGCATTTCCTCTTTTGTTTGGTTCAGTTATTACACGTTTTGTGGGCATTCAGCTGCTGAATGCCAGTTTTTTTATTTGGTTAGTTGCCGCCTTTTATTCGACAGTTTGGGGTTTTGTTTGGGTAATTCACTGTAATTTCAGTTTATTTTGTCTATACCAGGGATTTCCAACCCAGTCCTCAAGTACCCCCTAACAGTGCAGGATTGAGGGATTACCCGGCTGTGGTTTTTGTTTCCTATTTTTTATATAATTTTTTATTTTTGTAGTGCATAGAGTATCAAACAAGCTCTGGTAGACATTTCATAAAAATATTCAAACAAACAATACATATTGTTGTAGGCGTCACATGGAATGTCAGAGAGGGACTGCACTTTTTTTTTTTAAGAAGTAGGAAACAAGAAAGACAGCAGGAGCACTGTTCTAGGAGGTGGAAGAGCTAGTGAGTAACACGAGTTATAGGACAGAGCTGAGAAGTGATAAAGGTGATAGCATATGATTTACCCTTGTAAAAGGCAGCCAGATGGTGCCGAAACGTTGGTGGTACCGGGGACCTGTATTTCTGCCACGTTAGGCTAGTACTTGGTAAATTGTTACTGTTTTATTTTTGATACCTGTATATTGTAACTCTGTAATTTTTTTCTATATGCATATTTAACCAATTGTTGGTTGATTAAATATTTGCATTATTCATGGTTCTAGTGTGCATTCTCTTTTTGGTAGTATTAAAGCATGCTTAAAACACAGAGTTATGGAAACACAGGCTAAAGCATAGTTTGCTGGTGTTTGCCTAGATAGGTTGCTTATGCTAATCGATTAACTGTAGTTAAGTAGTGCTATGGCATGGATTCTGCATTATGTGCTAAGTATGCCAGGCATTCAAATAGAATACATATGGTGGGTCAGGAGAGACATAAGGTTGAGGTGGAATGTCTCTTAATATGGGTACTGCTGTTACAGGATACCGGGTAATGAGGCCCGTTTATTGCCCTCTGCCTAGCCTATTCCCTGCAGGGGTTCAGCTTCATTCCACCAGTTGGAAACCTGGCCATGGGTCAGGAGCTTTCTCATTGAGGAGTTGTCACACTTAGAAAGACATTGGTGGCGGTTCACCGGCAAGTGCAGTGGTGTTTCCTGTAGAAGGGGATCGAGCGGCAGGTGAGTGTATTGCCTAGCCCCTTTGCTGTAGGTCGTGTGGGACTGGCTCTTACCCGGCTTCTTCTGGCTGTTTTGTGTCTTTGAGAGCCTTCTCCATTTAGGAAGCTGATTCGTTGCCAGAAGGCTTCAAACAGCTTATTTTTGTAGTGCAGTGGGTGGTGTATGACAGTTCTCCATTAGCAGAGGAGCATGTGGCATCCGCCATCTTGATAAGGCCTAAGCACACAGTGTTGTCTTCGCTTGAGCTTTTCACACCAATGCAAGTGGTCAATGGGTAGTGTTGTGCCGGTGTAAAATCATCTGCTTCTTTCTTATCTTCTGTGTCCTTCTATGATTTCTCCAGTTGATTGATATATATACGGTTTTTGTATATATAATCTTGGGTCAAAGGCTCACGATATTAATATACATCTATATTAATGAAAAATACTAATACGCAATCTAACTTACGGTTTCTTCAGGTTTATTCTTAGTTACGGATACATAATAAAACAACAAAGGATGTTACATGATCATGGATGTTCAAGAGCAGATGGTAATTGCTGGACTCCTGAAGGGAGAGTTACATTGTTACATCGAGAGAGAGAGACACAGAGAGAGCCAGAGAGACCTTGTGTCCCTTTGTTCAGTTACTATATAGACGTGCCCAAACTGACGTCAGAGTGTAACTCTAGCCATATAAGGACAGGACCCCCAACTTGTGACTTATACCATCTGTTACTTATGTCAATCCACACATCCATATATAATCAATAGAAACATAGAATATGCAATATTCTAGAGCCGGGGCGGTTGCAAGTGGAGAAATCAGCCGGGTCTCCCACCCTCGTGCAGCTCGGTGTATGCCGCTAGTCCCCTGCCGAGGTGATGCGTCCAGGCCATGAGTTTTTGGCTCGATCAGCAGCCTTGCAGATGCTGTGGGTAACCCCCGAAGCTTCATTACCCAATTTTGGTGGGTAAGTTTGTAGCTTCATTGCCAGGATTTGCCTCAGGGCCCAGAGCTCTAGCAAAGCATGTCTGGCAAGCTTCTTATTTCCTAAAAAAGGTATTACAAGATATTCATTTAATCTGTTACTTTACATCTGCATCATTGGACTAATATAATACTCTACTCTAACTCTATATAATACCTATTTATACATAAACATGTCTGTCCATTGATCTATGTATCCATCTGTTTAAGCTGATCCTGAGGACCATCAATATCTTAACTCTGCAGATATCCATTTAAATGTTTCTAATATCAGCCCTCTTGGAATCTTTACCTCGGCAGGAATTAAATATATCCTTAATTGAATCAATGGTATTAAAGCATGAGACGTCATCTATGAGATCGTAATTAGACCACCATGAAGTCTTGGCAACCATTTGAAGTTACTGTAGAATGGAAATTGGCATTTTATAAATAATATTAATAATGTATTATATTAAATACATTTGTGTAGATAACTGAAAATGTGTCTTTACTTTTTACCACTCAGCAACAAAACAGAATCATTTGCATAATAAATAAAAAATATCAAACCATTTAAAGAGTTTGCATGCATCAGGAAAAACAAATGTATGCGCATGCACCACAAAGCCTTACTCTACTTTGTCATAAAGGTCCGACGTCACGTTGTCTTTGACACTGCCTTATCGCACAAAGAGAACAAGAGCTGTGTTAAGATGTCATGTGCACCTATGTGTTCATAAATAATTCACTGTGTTTCCTTTGTGATGTGTGTCCACATAAGTGCCTGTTTCTGTTTCTACACAAAGCTCTGCTGAGGGATGTCAAAAAGTATATACCAGCAGCTCTCTGTACTGTTTGTGCATGGGTGTAGAAGTTGGTTTGCTATATCCACGTAGATTTGGGATGTTTGAAGAAGTCTTGGAATAGTTGTGGACACACATGAGTCATGTAATTGAGCATGTTTAAAAGGACCGATAACTTGAAGGGTGTATTAAAGGAACACTGTAAGCACCGTAGCTATTACAGTGCGCTGCAGTGGTAAGGGTGCCAAGAGTGCCCTCTACCTCTGAAATACTTAGGAACACACTTTGAAATTTCATCTGGTACTTTGGAAATCGCTGTAGTGGTTATGGTCTCCGGAGTGCCCCGGAACACCCACATTGTAAGTAGTCAAATAATTTTAGAGTGGTTTGACAACTTACCTAGGGTCCACCGCTGGGGACCTTTACCTAGGGTCCACCGCTCAGTGTACGCCAGGTAAGAAGTCAAACTATTGTAAAATTGCTATGGTGTTTAGAATCTTACTTTACATTTTTTGCCATTATTTTTAAAGTACTATATACCGGACCACAGTCCGTTCTTGCAGGCTTCCATCTCTGGCTAGGTTCATGTGCTGGAAGCAGCCGTCGTGAAATGTATTACGTTTGTGTGTGTCCTGATACTTGCACCAGATACTTGTGTATACACACCACATATTCATCTGTAACTATTGTGTGGTTTCACCATGTTTGCTCAAAATCGTTGCTCTGTTACAGATGTATTTTAATGCATCTTATGTGCTCTAGCAACAGTTCTAATTTTTGTCCATTCCCTGAAAAAAATATTAAACCCTTATAATAGATCTCAGTGGTTGATGTGTGGTGCTGAATCTTTATACAACTGAGCAGAATGCTTAATTTCAGATACTAATGTGCTGTGTCACTAACAAGGGTGTATCATTTGAACCTTACAGAGGAAGGAATCAATCATGAGTGCAAGCTGTGCAACCAGATGTTTGACTCTCCAGCAAAGCTTCTCTGTCACCTGATTGAGCACAGCTTTGAAGGCATGGGAGGAACATTCAAATGCCCTGTTTGTTTTACAGGTAAGTGAAAACCCCCAAATTACTTTTCTAAGCCACATGGTTTAATAGTTTTGATGAAAACTTTGAGTATTATTAGGGCAGTTAGAACATCAAACCTAGCCAAATCAGAAATGTGCATGAATTGTTGGCTGAACATTATGGGAAGGAAGTTAGAACTTCTAACCTAGCCAAGAACTCAGAAATTTGCATGAATTGTTAGCTGAGCATTATGGGAAGCCTTGATGTTAAGACATCAAGATTTAAATTTAAAATATATATATATTTTTAGCAGAGGCACACAATTGTCATGAACCGCAAATCAGTAGCTTTATTGGGCCCTTGAGTTCCCCAATAGGCATGAGGATGAGCATTTTGTATTGGTTAACTAAAAAACAAAGGATTACAGTGAGGGCAAACTTAAGAGCACATGGTTACCAAAAAGGAACTGCACACCCGATGATAGATTCTTAACTTAAATCATGATAGATATAAAACATTCCTATAATTTATAGCGGCGGCATGTGTTTTTGTTTTTCACACCCTGCACATGTGCAGGATGCAAAGTAGAAGGAATTAGGCGTGATCAGACTAAATGTGTTTACACTTAATGTGCCACGTCCTTGCACTGCATGCGTGGGAGTATTCCCCATGAAAATAATGAAACGATTGGGATGAAACTCATGGTTGACTGCAGGCAGCAGTTGGCAAATTAAAACAAAAGGACACAAATAAATGGAGAGTGTCTTATGTAAAAGTTTCTTCACATGTCTAATGAGCATCGCTGAGCCTTCTGGTGCAAGCATTCCAGTATAGTATCATGGAAGGGGACTGCATGTGATGCAAGCCACTTACAGAATCACTCAAACTTTAACATTTACTTTTTGCTTACTTTAGGGAATGTTTGTTTAACAGTTTTACTCCACTGCTTGGCTCACGTGAAATCATATGTAGTGACCGAATCAATGAGCAGCTTCAGTTAAGTGGTATCACTTATAGACAATCCATTTCTCTCCAAATCGATATAAGCAATCTATTTAAGATTTTCACTGGCGGTTGTGAGTGAAACTGAAACTGCACTAAAAGAGTGACTAGGGCACAAAAAACACAATTATACAGTATTTTGGCCTACAGAAATTCTCCCTTCACAGTTTGCGGTATATTTACAGTGGTCCATTGTATTGCTTGAGCAAATCTGGACATCATCATTTATGCTCAAGTGTGGTTTAGACAAAGTTATATTTCAATTTCGTTTAAAATGTATTATTTTGACTGAAGAAGATGCTTTTGTAGCTGTTTATTGGGTCGTTATGTGCCTTAACCCCTTAAGGACACGTGACGTGTGACATGTCATGATTCCCTTTTATTCCATAAGTTTGGTCCTTAAGGGGTTAAAGGTTCACTGTAGGCACTGTGACTGCTTTTTCCTAATGAAGTGCTTATAGTGCCTGGAGTCTTCTTTTGTCATCCAGGCACTATAATAATGGGATGAAATGGTCATGATGCTTAGAGTATATTGGTTCACTTTCTGTATTCACATGAATAATCTGAATTCTTTTCTCCAGTTTTTGTACAGGCAAATAAACTACAGCAACACATCTTTGCAGTTCATGGGCAAGAAGATAAAATATATGACTGTTCTCAATGCCCTCAGAAGTTCTTCTTTCAAACAGAACTTCAGGTAAGATTTGTTTAAACTTTGTTCTACATACAGTGCAAGATATTGAAAGATGTGTGGTTTGAAATATATAACAATGGTCTCATATCTAAAATATTGTACTTTTTATACTGTGCGTATGTCTCTGAAGGATTATTTTATAATTATGAGTAGGTGTTTTTTTTGTACATCCCCATCCATGATTGCCTAAGTGAGAGAGTCACAAATTCAGTAGACAAGACTATATGCCGTTCCGCGGCGCATTAATGGTTAATTAACCATTTATTTGCTTACTTTAACCCAGCCCCGGGCTCTTTCGGCACTGGCGAACTCTACTCCTCCTCTATCGACTCCTGAGTAGAGCCGAATGCGAATGCACAGCCAGAGGCACGCTCGCATTCAAACCCGCTTATAGGAAAGCATTATTTAGTGCTTTCCTATAGGGATCTTTCTTGATGCTGGAGGTCCGTGAGGACGTCCAGCGTCAAATAAGTGTGATTTACCCAGTGTAAATCGCAGAAGCACCTCTAGTGACTGTCAGCCACTAGAGGCTGGATTAACCCTACAGTTTCTCTGAAACTATGTTTTCAGCTGCAGGGTTAAAACTAGGGGGACCTGGCACCCAGACCACTTCATTGAGCTGAAGTGGTCTGGGTGCCTATACTGGTCCTTTAACAGGGAGCTCTAGGAACTGTTATCATTTTGTGTCATTGAAGTGGTTATAGTGTCTGGATTCCCCTGGTGCCATTCCTCTGTTCAGTGTTGACTGTGTTTCAATGGTTTAACACTAAATGAGGGTCCCTGGTCACACACAGCCTGGAGGTATGGCTGAGGTTACACTCTTCCAAAGCCACACCATTTCATCGAAGCAATGAGCTGCTGTGAAAGCCTGGGATTAGTCAGCTCGAACTCTCAGCCAATCACTCCCAACTTTGCTGCTTGGACTAATTGCTTCCCCATTGGCCTGAGAAGAGCAGAGGGCCCGGGCTGCTGAGGACCCTCATTCAGTGTCCAACCATTCAAACCTGATTTAACAATGAATGAAGGGATGGAGTCTGGGGACTCCATACACTATAACCACTTCTACACGTTGAAATAGCTAAAGTGCCTACAGCGCCCTTTATCTAGCCAGTCAGTTGTATACCCTTTCTCAGGGTAAAATTCTTGGCATGTAAGTTATGTCAAACCTCAGCCTTCCATCATTAACATGATATATAAAGCTCTGTACCTTAACCCTATACTTAAATCTTTGCTAGCCTAATGTTTGGAGACAATTCTGGTAGTTACTTATTGTCCTGCAATAGCATGTGGGCGAAGGTTGCCTTCCTATGTTGTTGTAAGTCTGAGCATCAACCAAAATCTATACAGATCTCTTGATTGGTCCCAAAGCAAAACAGTCTCTTTTCGCCTCACATGCCACTTCTCTTGTTTGGTGTTAATTCGTGTGAGTGAACCCTGAGTTCGGAATTCTCACAGGAGATTAGGCACTCTGCTCTCTCCATTCATCTGAAGCAGATTTCATTGTACAGCTTTTATTTCCCTTCCCTAGACATTTAGGATTTTACATAAATAGATCTTCTCACCCTTTAACTGCCACTTTGGATGATCTACATGTTGCTGGCAAAGTAAAAAAAAAAAACATTCAAAAAAACTCCACCATTCTTAAACATGCTATACAAATCCTTAGTAAGTATGTCTGTATTCAAGTATGTGTAAATATATAAATCATATTCCTTTTACACTATTAATCTGCCAATTTCACTTTATTTTGATATAGAACACGTGATTGAGAAACACAACCATTCACTTGTGCTTGATAGTTTTGAAATGGAAGTTTTTGAGACCAAGGGGGTTGGGGGCCTGAATTTTGTTATGACATTTTTTTTTTTTTTATCTTTTGAATAAGTTGAATAGAAATATTCACACAGACAATAGTATTTGTCTATGGCAACACAACACTAAAGCTTTAGGGACACTATAGTCACCAGAACCACTTAGCTTAATGTAGTGGTACTCGTGTGTATAACACGTCAATGCAGTTTTAGTACTGTAAACACTGCATTTTCAGACACTCACACTAGAGGTGCTTCCTAATCCAGTGCTGCCCAATGTGCAGCACTGGCGCTCTGCATTTCCACACACTGCACGGAAGAGCTGAAAATTTCACATAAACATGCAGTGATTTAATGTATCTCTATGAGGAGATGCTGGTTGGTGCAGAATAGCATTTTGCTGTGCATGCACAGTAGCCTCCCAATGCTGGGAAAGCATTGAATTGGTTGAGATCATCAAGATCCCAGTGATCAAGGCCCAGTGACAATCCATGTCTAGTATTTATGCAAAAAGGTCTACATAGAAAGATCCTTACTCGTTAATAAGTAAATCTAAGAATTCTGTCACCTATTGGGCAGATTTGGGCATTATCCAAACATATAAAATATATGATACTCTCAGTATGCTAATATACAAATATATATATCAAAAGAATCTTATGATGTTTACTGTATGGAAACATTTTACCTAGGTGTTTGTAAGTTGCAAAATGCTCAGTCATATAGTACCCATGTGCATACGAGGAATTCTATATGAAGATTTTGAAACCGTGCTCAATATTTTTAGCAGTGCCTTTGCTGTTGGTTTACAGCCAGTGAGATCCTGTCATTGCTTCTATTTTCAACTTGGTAAATACCATAAACCAGTGTCCTGATTATAGTCTTAATGGCCAACTGTTTTACCCAATTAGCAATCTTAATTACACGCTACCTAATTTCATAAGAGCCACGCATAGCAATTCTGTGCAAATATCAGCTTTCAGCGAGGTGGAAATTTAAATTTTCTGTTGTGATTATGTCGTTTTTATAGCAGTATATTGACAGATACAAGTGGGTTTTCTACTTAGCAATTTAGATACTAAAAATTACAGCAGATAAGGAGAAATACTTTGACATAATTTAGCTTTCTTTTTTCCTATGCACTGTTAAACCTTAGTCATATTAGTGCAGAAAAATGGTATTTCATGGCTAGGAAAACGATACAACATTCTCATTTGAGAGTTAATCATCCGAATCTGGAATATTAATTAAATGTCTGGTGAAATACTAGTTTAGAACATACAAATAAGCTGAACAGAAACTATAAAAATAGTCATAAGCTTATCTTTTAGCTGGGATAGAAAAATGCACCCAGGCAGTGTACCAATTTCTTCATATTATATCTGGTCACCCGAAGTCTGATCAAGGACATATACACACAAGACTTTTAAGTTCCTTGTAAAGGGACATTAAAACCTCATTACAAACGATTACAGAAGCGCCTCTAGTGGCTTACAGTATGACAGCCTTTAGAGGTGGACTTAACCCTGCAATGTAAACATTGCAGTTTCTAAGAAACTGCACTATTTTACAATTCAGGATTATAGCTAAACGACCACTGAATACAGGCTAGTTTATTGAAATGAAGTGGCCCGGGTGACTTTAATGGTCCTTTAAAGCTTATGTCATATAAAATACATTCCTGCTGACTTTTGTTCTGCTGACTATCAGAAGTACTATTTCCACTTTAGGGCTTTCTTTTTATCTTTTTTTTCACACTGATAAGATTTTCCTGGCTTTGACATGCTCTGGGTTGAAGTGTTCTCTAAATTCTAGTGGTCACACTCTTCTGGAGACAATTTAACAATACGATGTTCAGAAAAAAAAATATTTGGAACTCTGAATTAAAAGTTAGATTTGCCTCATCTACAAACATTACAAGCAGGTCCATTTTACATTTCACACTTTTATATTTTTTAAGCTCATTTCACATGTAGATGTCTAAAAGCCATATTATTTACATTCATTAATATACTGTATTTAGAAACTAACGTGTATTCAGCTATTGCATGCTTCTAATCACCTAATGCAAAATGTCCATAATGCTAAACAGACTTTTTTTTAGAAAGGATTATGAGCATTTTGGGAAGCTTATGGCAATAATCACTGTAAGCATGTGTGAATGTGTTACCGATGCAGTTGTTTATAAAAAGAACCTTAATAATGCAACGCCATTTGAGGGTCCATATGACACTAGGAATATGAGATAGGGTTGACAAACTGAGAAACAGTATACATTTGATATTTTACTGTTCCATACTTGCCAATTCTCCGACTTTAGGCCCAAATCTATGTCTCTTTTCTGTCCTAATGTCCATCTTTAGGAAGATCAAATCCTATTTAATGCCCATAGCTTAGATAGGATTACCTCTTTTCTAATGTAATATTGGTTTTCTAGGGCACCATATTCTTAGTGCAAAACACAGCTTCACAGACCGTTTTGTATGATCAGTACAGACATTTTTGTTGATTTACGTAACCAAGTGTTGGAAATAATTTACACTAAAGTGACATTGTCAACCCCCTGAAAAATGAGTATTTCACAAAGATAAAATCTTTATAAAATACTCATTATGACTGTGTTGGAATTTCACTGGAATTTTCGCTTTGGCTCTGTATTTCTCCTCCACTCTACTTTCTTTGACACAAGGCGAAACTACAGAGTCAATCCCTCCAGGGAATTAGCTGTGCCTACGGAGGATCCCATGGTCGTGCAGGATCCGCCATAGATCTCAATTCTGTACTCTTGTGCATGCGCAAGATTACAGTGACGTCGGCGCTGAAGAGTACCCTGCCAGATTAAGATGGTGGCGCCAGCGAAGGACGGGTCCAGGTCACCTTTACCTGCCCCCCAGCCACCACACCACCAGCGGCGAGTTCACTGTCTGGGTACTTAACAAGTTCTGCAAACGGTGACAGTGACGCTTTAAATTGTACAATTGTAGGACAAATAGCTGAAACAGAAATAAAAAACAACTATTTTTCATGCTGCAAAATTTCAGCCCAAAAATTGCAGTTTAATTGTTAAATCTCTGCAATTCCTGATTTAATATATAACTATATTAGTAAATACATTTTGCGTGTAATTCTAGTATGGAGACAGTGTATATCTGGGATAGTATTCCTTTCCACATAGACAGGTGGGCAAGGGCTTCATATGACAAATTAAAAATAATTGTTGTTCTAGAATTCTTAAGATGGATAGGAAGTATCAGTATTTTCCTTGTTACTAATTGGCAATGCTGCCTATTATGAATGTCTGTTGTGGATCCAAATTCATATTTTAATAGACATATTTTAAAACAAAAAACATTTTTTATATATATATTTTACATGTGTACAGTGATTTTTGTCTTGCTCCCTGAAACCCTCTTTTTATTTGATATCTGGTGGAGTAAAACTCTGTTGCTTACACAGACATAACAATATATGCTGGAGTGTTTTTACAAGATATGTCTAGATCATTAAATATAATAGGTCTCAGCTGTAGTTTTGATCACCGAAGCATGCACACAATTCATCACAGCAAATTAGGTATGTCTTTGAAAGTTAGCATCCTACAATTTACTGGCATTTTTGGAAAGATGTAACTCTGTACAGACACCGTTTGGGTTATGAAATGAAGCACAGTGTGTCTTGAAGGGATCCACAAGTATAACAATAACAGAGGGGAGGAGTATGTTGTGTGTACCTGCTCCAAGATCTTGGGGAAAGAACTCTAGCGTAATCGGCACATATCCCCATTCGCATCAATTATTTATGTCTTTTAGTGAGTTTCTTGTCTGCTGTAAAGGAGATGTAGACTTCAGTGATTTAGTCTGTCTTTGCTACCGTTGTTAAACAAAAAGTGAAAGCATCTTTGTTTGGACTCATACTGTTTATGATATTGACATTTTGTCCTGACTACAAACCTAAAATATAGCTTTTATTCTGGGAAATGAATCAGCGTTGAATAACACTGATAGTTGTATTGCCCTAATAAGCTATGAGTTGGGAGTGAAGAAAATGTTTTCTAAATGTAGCTCACTAGCAGTTTTCCATGATATAGTCTGTAAGCTCGTTTGAGCAGGGTCCTCTTCAACCTTTTGTTCCTGTAAGTTTTCTTGTAATAGTCCTATTTATTGTTACATCCCCCCTCTCAAAATATTGTAAAGTGCTACGGAATCTGTTGGCGCTATATAAATGGCAATAATAATAATATCCTTTCAGCTGCTATATTTTCCTATGTCACCTATCAATGGAACCTCAGTTAGGTCTTGCTCCTTTTACTAGACAGTTTTTCCCCATCAGGATGACCTTAAAAAGGGAGTCCATTCTTCCAGTTAAGACATCTCTGCAATGCAATCCTTGGCTAGATAATAAAACAAGCTTCCTGTATATGTAAGCACTCACTAGTTTGGGAACGTAGAGCAACAGAGAATAGGGATTTAACTCCCAGAGAGGGTCAATATGATTACAGTGGCCTGAGAGAAGATGGAAAGGCTTCCCGAGTTTGTGTGTGTATATTAAATGTTGTGGTATTCATTTTATTTTTAAATTTATTTCTCCCACCCCCCACTTGTTTCAGTAATAAACTAGACCTCCTCTTTTTTTCCATTAATTTGAATAGGAGAGCACAATCATAGTAAATAAACAATATAGGGTAAATAATGATATATACAAGCAGCTAGACACAAAATAAAATTCCTTAAAAAAATCTTACCTAGATAACATATAATGACAAAGTGCCAGCGCTATATACGAAAGCCTTCTAGTAATGTATGTGTGAAAAAAATAATAAACAACTTCTCTCTATAGGTAAATGGTGTATAAAACACCTATATATCACAGTAAGTTGAATTATACACACAAAAAAAAAATATCAAAAATTTGCAAAAGGAGTCCAAAAGTTATTGGGTTGGAGTCTTTGAAGGGTTAATCTTTTGTTGCAGTTGAAATAATGACATCCGTAGATACACTGGAGCACTTGTGTAGGTTATACATTAGCAAATGGTGATACTTGTCTCCAAGATTTCACAATCAAGTTTCACAGAATCAGAGGACGGTAAAACGGCTATTCAGCCTCTGATTCTGTGAAACTTGATTGTGATATCTTGGAGACAAGTATCACCATTTGCTAATGTATAACCTACACAAGTGCTCCAGTGTATCTACGGATGTCATTATTTCAACTGCAACAAAAGATTAACCCTTCAAAGACTCCAACCCAATAACTTTTGGACTCCTTTTGCAAATTCTTTTCCATTGCTGACCGTTTCCTTGACACTGCCTAATCTGCCCTTGCTGAGATAATCATGACTGATAACCTCTTGTCCAATCAAATGCTAATGTTCCTTTACATTGCTCTGTCAGAACATTGTAATGCTGAACCATTAATTCATTATGGCCCAGTTTTATACAGGTGGGTTTATCTGTTGACATAAACAAAATGAAGTACAGAGGTGTGTAGTGCACTGCATTCCCATGTCCCATCCCCTCGGGTACTTCATTCTGTTACTCCTTTGTTGTATAGGGTGCGCGTGTTGCGAATCTTGCTGTGTTTACAGATAGTCTCTAGTTATCTTTGTCGGTCCCCTCTTGAGATTTCTTTATATTCAAAACACAAAGGTAGTGTGCATTCCCAATGCAACAAAGGATATTTTCTGTGGCTTCTCTTTGTCAGATTTATACAATCTAATGTGCATTTTGCTTGGGAAAATTACATATTTACTAAGCAGTGTGGGAGGGGTGGGCAAAGAGTGATGTGAAAGCTTAGTAAATCTGGCCTCCGGTAAATCAAAGCATGGGTATCTTCGTTATAGATTAATGCTGGAAACTTGAATATTTACTCTGCTGTTGGAGGAGGAACAAACATTTTTGTTTGTATTTACAAATTAATCTTATTAAAGGTAATATATGTGATACAGGTAAAAAAAATGCTGTTTCTAAGCAAACATTGGCATTCATACATTCTTCTTTTGGTATATTGCAAGTTACCGATTTTACAAGTAAAAAGACAAAGAAGGGTAAACAAGGAAATCCAACAATGGGTATCATTATTCACTGAACCTGTAATTGTAGAAAATGTATAATTTTAGGCCAATATACACACGTTTCCATTATAGCCCAGATGTTTTGGCATGTCCAATAGAAGTACGGTATCTAGGCATACAGAAAGTCATTCGTTTTGGCAATTAGTAACTGAAAAAAGATTGGATGAGAAATTAATAAAGTTATGGAAAAAAAAAAATTTTTGTTTTGTAAATCATTGTTGGAGGAAAACCATAAACTATTTACTTGTTTTTGAATGATATAATTTTAACTTGTATTTAAAAAAAAAAAAAAAAAAGTCAGGAGTAGGCAACCTTCGGCACTTCAGATGTTGTGGGATAAATCTCCTCTGATGCTTTGCTGACATGGCTCACAGAGAATTATGGGAGATGTAGTCCACAACATATGGAGAGCAGAAGGTTCCCTACCCCTGTTCTATGTATTAGTGGTAGGACCTGGTCTGGTTCTAAACTGCGTATATCGATTTTATCTGAGACGCAAATGCATGTGTTTTGTCTTGGTCGAGACTGTGTTGATCCGGAGTCACTCTGTTTAGAGATTCATTAATTTTGCTTTATAATCCACCTTTCTGTTTCTCCTCACAAAATTACAGTATTTTTCTTGTAGCTGCCTTTATAAATAAATAAAAAATGTATAGAATTAATGAAACAAAATAGCATAGCAAAATTAGACAACAGGGAGTAAATGATCACTTGATGATGTGCATCTAGCAATGTAGGTCAACCATTTTTTTTTTTTTTTATAGACAAGAGAGATCCTATCACAGAATCCCAGTCAGAAAGCATGCTACTGTCACCCAGATATACAAAAACATTGAACTACATTGTACAATTGAAATTTGAAGTGTACATTATAGTTAGAAAGTGTGCTCCTATAAACAAATGTCTAGTTTTGTAAGCTATGCAATTTGTGAATTATCATTTGAAAGCTGACTCCTCAAAGAATACCTCTGTCCATTTAAGGAGCTTTAATTCTGTCTAGATTAATGGGGAAAAAAACTGATAGTATTTACTGAACTGTGGGAATATTTGGTACCAACCTGGAGACTCCACATTGGTTGAGCCAGAAACCTTAAGATAATAAAAAGCTTCTGTGTTTACAGGATTATACTATTTTCACCAACAATCAATGAGTGCAGCTTACAGTTGAAAAGTACCTTTGAAAGATAGTCCACATGTTCATAGTTAAGAACAAAGTATGTTTTGGGGGGAATATAGGCTCTCTTTCATAAGTGAGCTATGAGCTACCTGGATCATTTTTGTCTGCAATTTATGATCTTGTCTAATCCCTTCGTATATTAACCAGCTAACACTGTGCTGATTTAAGCAGGAAAGTTCACCTACTATATTTTGTGTGGACCAGTGGATTTTAGTGCTTTAGTAATCGTGAATATTGTCTAAGCCAGAGGATGCAACATATTGATAGATTCTGGCTCAAGGATATAGATGTAGGGGGGGGAAAGAATCTGCTAAAGTGGATGGAGTTAGAGAAACAATCCTATCTGTCTGTCTATCCATCCATCTGCTTTTGTGTGCTTGATTAAGCTAATCTCTTAATACTCAACTGTGACAGGTTTTCTTAAGCTACATGTGTTTTCTTACATATTAAAAATAACCGTGCTACATGAATTGTACAATTCTACATAGTCTCGCTGCAGCATTACATTCTCACATCCCCTATAATGATGAGAGATGTGTTGCTTATTCATTACTGTTGGTAGGTTTCCATGTATCACTGCACGAACAATAACTCTTTCATTTTGTGATGAAATGTAGCAACTCTAACATTGAGTGATACTATTTACCATATTGTAAAAAAGTTTGCAAAGAGAGAGTCACCATCATAAACTTCCTTTTGCTACTGTATTCTCGAGTGATGTACGTTATATGTTCTGCATAATAGTGTTCGCTTATCGTCCATCTGCTATGAATGCGTCAGTGGGTATAAAACTTGTACTTTTCTACGCGCATAACAGGGAATCAGTGGTTGCCTAGGGCAGTGTTTCCCAACCCAGTCCTCAAGGCACACCTACCAGTCCAGGATTTAGGGATTACCCAGTTGTGTCTAAGGTGTTTTTTTTCTTCTTTGTAAAAACACCTTAGACACAACTGGGTAATCCCTAAATCCTGGACTGGTAGGTGTGCCTTGAGGACTGGGTTGGGAAACACTGGCCTAGGGTACGTAATTTGAGAAGTGTACAGGATAATTTACTTTACCTTAATTTTTATTTATCTATTTCTGTTATTTGTAATGGGTTGAATCTTAACAGTCACCACTCTTAATGCCGAGCATCTCTCACAACCTTAAAGTCACATCCGGAAGGTTAATGAACATAACCGATTTTGTTTACTTTCCAGTAAGAGCAATCAAGTAGACCTTATATCTCTTGTGTTAATGGAACTTTGGACCCACGGCTACTTTATGTTGAAGACTATGTTTGAGCTAAACTGTTATAGAACATGCAGACTGAGACATAGAGCTGGCTCATCGTTGTGGAAGTTTTACATGTCACTCAATTACAGGGACACACTCCACCCTGTGCTGGTCTGCATGTTGAACATATCCATTGGTTATTCAGGAAGGGATAGCAAGTTCAAGTGTCGGTAATTGCATCTGTTATGTCCAACTTTTTAAACAGAATGCAATTTCATCTATATGTTCTGTTAACCAAATGACTGATAAAGGTATACATTAAAATGAATGTCATGTTTGGCTGTCTAAGGCTTTATTCTGCTAGCATGGAGGTCTGAGTGCATCTAAGAGATGCAACAAAAAACAATATTAGAAACCTTTTTAATGCAATTGGCCTTTATTTCAACCAACGGCAAAGGTTACATGGTAGCATTTTGACTTATCTAGGAATTGATAGTTGCTGATCTTGTGATTTGGGAGCAAGGGGCTGCCATGCAGCTTCTCCACAAGTCCATATTGGATCAGCTAGACATATTGATATTCTCTTTGACTATATGGTGTATAGATTAAATATATACTTGCCTGACTATGAACTTTTAAACCACATAGTTTGTTGATTACAAATTCCCTTTAAATAAAAAAAAACTCTCCTTTGTGCTTTATGGGGGTATTATTGTGTTATGATCTTTTTGAACAAAATGTTCAATAAAAAACGATCGTATTAGTACAGTTGTAGAGCCCTGCATTCCCTTGATCACAATTAAGAACACAGAAGGTAGCCAGTGACAATTAAACACTTGAGAGACCCATTGTTACACAGTATGAGGCAGGTAATGGCGCTAGTAACAGGGAAGCCAACAGCTTGTGTTAGACAATTGTATTGTATTGTGCACATTATGTCATTTAATAGGGAAACGATGAACCCATTGCAAGGTGCAGATATACCAGCCTCCATTCAGAATGGACATGTAATGAAAGAACAGCTAGGTGCACACCTGCTTTATGGGATGCATTGCTTATCAGTTTTAATGAAGTGTATTAACTGAATAGCACCAGAGTATTCATCCAGCCCTGTTTATGGCACACTCTTGAGTACATTTATGGTTTGTCAGAAGTGCAAACTACTGAACATATGAGGCTTTAAGACAGGCCATCTGTTAGTCCTAGGCTCTTGGATGGTGGTCAAACTGCTCTAAAAATAAGCGCACATCTAACTACCAGGGGCAGCAGACATGGTTTTAATTCATTCTGTACAAAGATAGGCAATATAGATGCACTGTAACATTGATTTGACATGTAAATATTGATGCTGTATCTTGTTTGGGTTTTTCTTTCATAATAGTGTTTTGAAACTCATTTCAATGAAAAGTAAACCTATAGATAATAAATCATAATTTGTCATAGGCAATAATATTTTTTTTAACATGGAAAGGTAATAGACCCAAACTCCATTAAGCAAAATATTTGACTTACATTCGTGAGAGACCTACACACGATGTGATCTGTTAATATGAAAAAGTCTCAAAACATTGCTTTCTTTCTTGTATTGATTCATCTTTCACCAATTGTCTTTGCTGGGGAATATATATTAATTTTCTGATAAGACCATGTGTTTAGGTGGTCTTCGGAATACTTTGTAAATTGTAAAATTTGAACCAAACTGGTACAATTTTTTGGTTGCAACCTCTGGAGTCTGCTTTCTAAGATACTCTATAGACTGCTTTTATGAATGCACGGCACAATTCATAATCCCTCTTGGGCTGTGTAAATAGATGCTTGGGTAGCATATATCTAGTGCGTGATGGACAGTGCATGTATTGCTGCAGCAAGATATACCTAGCTATTCTGAGCTTGTGCCTGTACCACCCCAAAGTGCCAAGCCATCTGTTCATATTGTCTTGTTAATCAAGCTCTTATACTGCAAGAACACATGGATATCAGAACAATTATGTATACTTGGACTTTGCTATAGAACAATAGGTTGTGCAGTGGAATCTCTGGACTGCGTAAGCAGACATTAAGTGGATTAAATATTAAACATTGTGTTTGTATCCACAAATTTGGTGATCAAATTTAAATGAACTTGGCGGAAAGATTGTTTTACCCAATAAAGATGTAATACACTTTGTTTACTAACAGTCCAAATGAGGGGACTACCCAGTCTCCAAAATTATACCCTAGTGCAGGGGTGGGCAACGTTCGTCACGGCAGATGTTGTGGACTACATCCCCCATAATGCTTTTTCACCCATAATGCTGACAAAACATCATGGGAGGTGTAATCCAAAACATCTGGAGTGCCGAAGGTTGCCTATGCCTGTCCTAGTGTATGCCATCCCTTTCACTCCATTTGCAAAAGATGTGGGTTGAAATCTCTTGATCCTTTGTAAAACCTGGCTTATTGAATGGATGACTACATAGTTAAAAATTAGTTGTGGAGCATATTTCCTTGATCATATGTAGTTACATCCACGGTATCGTTGCCCTTGCCAATCTAAACTCGTTTGCAACTGATTGGATATCATTGATAATTCACATACATTTACAGGAACTGGAGATGGGAGTATTACATTTGTTTTTTTTAAGTGGAGCATACAATAGACATTCTGCCTGCGTATGTGTGTTTGGGTACAAATATGTAATATTTTCATCTTGTTTGATTTGTTTAAGACTATGTTGGTGAAATGAATTCCAGACATGTTTATTTGATCATTCTTTGAGTCTGTATTGTTGCAGGGAGGAGAGTTTCCCATTGAGTACCTCATTATCAGATTTAGAACCACATACCATTCCTTTATTGACCTGTCTATTACAATCAATGCAGCAGACACAAAGATTTGAAATGTGTTTCTGCCCATGCACTGTGTCCCCCATCTACTGATGATTGTACATTATCTTTTAAATGACACTAGTTAAATGAGTATGGATTTCTCTAGCACCAATAGTTTCTACTTTGCATTAAAGGTACAATCATGCATTCACTGTGTTTATTGCCCTTGTACTATATCTTTTAACGGTAACGCATTGTAGAAACATTTTATACAAACTATTACTCCATGCTTTATGCTTTCTTTTGTATACCCAGACTTGTTTTTGAAAACAAATTTAAATGAAAAATACCCACTGTCAGACTGTGTGTGCTTTGCAAATAAAATGTGCTATGTAACACCTCCAGTAATGTACAGGAGCCCACATGGTACATTTTGTGCAATGCAGATGATTAGCAGCCATGAAAGGAATAATTAGGAAATTCTTTGGGTTCATACGGGCTGCAATAAATGCCCTTCGAAATATGTAGATGTGTCAGTTTAGAGAGAACATTTAACTTACAGTAGACATTTACATCTGATGAGTGTGCAATGGACCCTCCAGACTTGCAGTGGCAAGTAACTTTTAAGGCCTAGTTAGCAGCATAGGACATTGGGTATATTATATAAAATCTCAACATTCTTCCTGAACATTAATGTATTTCTGATTTGTTCTAATACTGCAACCAACGTGTGATGTTTTTCCCAAAACATTGCATATTCATTTTTCAGTCCACAGTAATTCAGAGAGGTTATGTACTCCAATACATTTTATAATTGGCTACTTTTAAGTATCAACATGTAATTAACCAGTCCTTCTAAGCAACATATGCAGTCATTGCTGCATATAGTATTATGTTAATAATACTAATTATTTATAATGCTGCAACATATTGTGCAATCAGAAATATTCTCCTTCACAAGCACTGGGAGGAAGTGATCTCAGGTCATTTCCTCCCAGTTTTGCCAAGAGTGAATTGAGGTCTGCTACTCATCACCCATTACAAACAGGAACTACTGATACCTAGAGAAGTCCTACTGGACTCTCTGTCATGCAATCTCTTGGGGAGATCTTCAAATCTTCCCAGTCTGTGCCATATTTTGCAAACCCCTTCTGTAACTTATCTATAATTAGTTACTTTGCATAATAATACATAGATCTACAGGCTATAGAGCTACTGTTAAGTAATTGTTTTTAATTTCGCTGTTTTTTCGTAAAATTATTTATATGCTTATCAAACAGATGACTCCCCATCATTAAACTCCCTTTTTAATATACTGCTGCAGCCTGTTTAAATTGAATGCAGTATTAAACTTCTGTCATTTAAAAACCTATTTTGCTTGCCCTCTGGTGGTCAGTTCTGAATAATGCAGGTATCACCTATGAATATTGTGCCTAAATGGGGTCATTACCCCCCAGGAGACTGAGGCCTCGAAATGGAAGGTTCATTAGTTAACTGTTTCCTCAAGACAATTTTCATTAAGCAAGTGTCATTAGAATGATGGCATGTCATATATCAGCTTCTCTGCAAATCCCAGCTATAAGGAAGGATACATTGTACACATAAGTACAAAGATGTAAGATGTATTTACTGATGGGCTAATAAGCTACGTGCAATGTTAACACCCACCCATAATCTAATCTACAAACTAGACTTTACATAGAAAACAAACCCCCAAAATAGCCTAATTATTACACAGGAATAGGAAACTGATTTAAGCTCTATCCACATGAGTAATTAAGTGTGTGCAAATGCTTTTGTTCACTTACACATGATGAATTCATGTATGCATATAACCACATATTGTATGCCAATGATATTTCACTTAGCAGTCACTCTTATTCTGCTGCACCCACAGCTTCTTGTATCTTTGGATGAAAAAGGCTCCTGGGCATTGTAGTCTGCTTGCAGAAGCAGATCCAGTGTTTGAACCCTGTCATAGAGCTTCATTTTACAATCACAGAAATGCCATCCTTTAATTACTAAAAAAAAAAAAGCTGCATTCAAAAAGGAGAGTTTCTGTTTGAATGTGGCCTCTAAACAAATGCCTACTTTGCCCATTGAATAAAGTTGCCATAGAGATATATTAAGTCTTACCATGTAATGTATCGCCTTGGTACTGATGTCTTTTTACTCTATTTACTTATTCAATTTCATCTTCAGCTCAAATTTCTTTTTATTTTTTTTTAAATGTGAAAAATGTAGGTTATACAGATATATGTATTTCTGTATTATTTTATTAGAATGTATATGTAATGCTTTTCATGGAACACAAGGTTACATTAAGTGCTGTTCCCCCCTACCATAGCCTCTGCTTACTTCATTATTTCTATAGTGGCAACCTGTCCCTCTCTAGCAATCTTTGGCTCCCATGCACGGCAGACACCTCTGGCACTTAAAAGGTTATCACCAAACTAAACATGTGTTGCTGTTGAGCCGTTTGGAATTCAGTTGGAGCTGTTCAGGCATTTCTAGGATTGTAAACACACATCACTGCCAATTTCTGTTCTCTTGGCAAAGCAACTCTATCTCCAGTTGTTGTAGAGAACAAAGAATACAATAGAGCGGAAGACCCGAAGGTGATAAAGGAGATATAGAATTATATATTTATTTAGAAATTATTGTAACATTGCGGGGAGGGAAATGAAAAAGAAATCCCCCAGGGTAGATTTTCTCCCCTACTATTGGTACTTATTTTTCTTCTCTACGTGGGTTGAAATCCTGGTGGCAGCACTAGGCTGCTACATAAAAAAAAGAATGTTCTGTGTTCATGTCAGCACCGGTACAAAGAAATCTGTGTCATATTGGCAGCTATTACTTATGAGATTTTTTTTTTAAAAATCATGTTTTTTTTTTTTTTTTGTGAATAAATGAGAGGCTTTTATGTGCAGCTCTTCATAAATGGTACTGAGTAGGAGGGTATGGGCACGCTTTCTATTATTTTGCCCCTCATGCATTTCTCCTTTCTTCGTCTTTTCAGAACCACACGTTGAGCCAGCACGCACAGTGAGCCGGTGGCACTACAGGACTTCTCTCTGCATAAGACTTGACGGAGGCACAGTGGGGAGGACCATTTGAACATTACATCCAATCAAAGTGTCATTTGCAACCCAGATGTAAAACTCTAATGATTTGGCCATGAGGCGCTGCTATTATAAGCAGCTGGAAATGAATATTAATGGAAGAGATTAAAAGTATTCCATGCTCAGTATTTTTATTGTCCTGCTTCTTACTAGTGTACTTTAGAGCTTCTGCTTCTGACTGAATTTATAGTGTTAGAATAATCATTTGCAATGATGTTGTCTTTTTGTTGCCTCTTGTATTATATTGATAGTTCAGAGCTTTGGAGTGTTTTTTATTTTCTGCATCATTTAATTGCTATTTTTTTTATTTTATTTTTTTTAGTTGTGTGTTTTTTCTGTGATGTGATGGATTGGCAGCTGTCTATTCCATTTTATTATTTGTATTTTTTACTTAAAAAAAAAAATTAAATAAACTAATGCTTTGATTGGATTTGTCAGTTCACAGAGGACAGTCTAATGAATATAATCCGCAACTGGATGGTCTGCTTTTTAAATGTGACATTATCTGATTTACAATAACTAAATACAGTACAATAAAGGGAAATAAGACCAGTCTGTGTCTGTGACTGTTGATGTAACCTTCGTGGAAATATTTAATACACATACAACAATTTCACAGTATTGGTTTGATCAGGACCGGGATGTTTAATGAATGAGCAAAGACCCATTTGTATTCCAGTTTCTCTATTTTGGACAGGTATCCAAAATTAGAATATTATTTCAACCATAAACCTACACTGTTTGAAATAATCTGTAATCCATTAACAACCTATTTACCATTCCTTATTATTATTATTTTATTATATATAGCGCCATCATATTCAGTAGTGCTGTAAAATAGGTGGACTAACAAGACATGTAATTGTAACCAGACAACCAGACCTACAGGAACAGAGAGTTGGAGGGCCCTGCTCAATGAGCTTACATTCTAGATACCTTACATACCACCTGACTGTCAAAAATATGCCCTTTTGCTGCTATCCAAATTTGGCAAATTTCAATATATATATCCCATGAGGATCGGAGCACGGGTAACGTCTGCAAGTTAGCTTCTTTTTACATCTCCACCTTTATTGCAAAATATGCCTTTAATCCATGCCTCCGGTCTACTCATGATCTAAATTCAGGATATTTCCAAATCCTCCATCTCCTGCTTAAAATACTTTGCCTTGGCTTGTCTATATATGTTGAACTCAGGGCTATAGAATCTCCAATTCAGTGTTCCCTGTCTATCTTAAAATATTACAACACAACTCATCTCTTTAAAGTGGTTTATAGATCTCACTACAACACCTGCCCCCCAGCATTCCTAGACAATAAAACCAAATTGTAATATGTAATTGCCTGTATACTCCTTGATTTGCTTAACTCTTCCTCTCTTAGAATGCGAACTTGCAGACAGGACTTTCAGTGTGAGTGTAATGTGAAAGTTATTATGCCTTTTACATTCTACATACAGAACTGTAGCATTTGTCTCTGTGGTGAACTCATTCATATGTAAGTATTTCTTGCAAGAATTTTCAAAAATGTTTTCACTGGCCAACTCACGAAAAGATGATTTCTTTCATCACTTTAACAAACTGGTAAATAGTTTTTGGACATTCTTCAGAGGCCACAGATTACATTGAAAAGCTTTTCAGAGATTGCTGCTTCCCAAGAGATCATGTGCACCTTGTGCATTTTATTTTAGAGTCACTAATCATTTTCAGATTGGCTGAATGAACGTGTAGGTTTAGGTTTATATCAAACCTGGATTGCATATCCTTCTCTCCCATTCGTGTATCGAAGAAACTTAGCAGAGAGTATTTTAGTCTATTTACATTAAAGTAATAATACTGTAGATGCATCTGGTGCCAGTATTTACAGCAATCAGGGTAATTACGTTCTTGGTTGCACTAGAATTAGTTAATGATAAGATCAGAGAAATTAGAGTGGAACAGTGACTTTCTGACTGATGACATTTCCTTTCCTTATCCCAATAAAATTACTGAAGTGTTACTTGTGGCAAGTGGTAGATCCCCAGGTGTTAAAGAAGTACTACTGCGATTATGCTTTGTAATCCTTTAGAATGGTAAAGCATCACGAAAGTTGCAGTTCTATAACATCTCGGGATATGAGGGTTTGCTGCCCCTGCACTAGATATTTCTGTATGGTTAACATGAAACGAGAACTTTAAATACATAATGCATTCAAAAATATAATTTAAAATGTATACAAAATATCAAAAATCACATTGCCCAAGATAAAGAAGTTTAAAGGAACACTCCAAGCACCATAACCACACCAGCCTGCTGTAGTGCCTTGGTGTCCTCCCTGGGTACGTGGTCAAATCATTCTGCTGGTGCTCTTTGCACGAGCCTCCATCTCCACTGAGGAGACAACTGGTGGACCTCAGGTAAAGTGTCAACCAGTTTATCCTGGGAAGTGTCAGTGCACTTATTGCACTATAACCACATCATCAGGGGGCTTGGAGAGCTAATTTTTAGGTTTACTTTGTACTACGTTATGGTCGTGTTTAAAATCAAAAGTATCACTTCAAGACAGAGTTTTCTGCTTCTACTTCTGAAGACAATATAATTTTACACACAAACCTGTAAGGCCCGCTATGTTAAGAAGTGTCTGAGCATGGTTTATTTAGCATTTATCAAATCTTTTGTATTGCATGTTTTTTTTATTTTATTATTATTTAGTACTGTTAGAAGAATTGATTTATTGTATGCTGTAGAGCCTGAGCTATTTTATATGTTTAAGACACAAAGGCTTAAGGAAATCGCAAATGACAATATCCCTAGCAAATCAAGGGTTACATATATTGCAGTAAGCTCTGTTCAAATAAGATACTTCCCCTTCTGCTCTCCCTAAAGCTGATTTTAGAAAAAATGTGCAGTATAGCATCAGGAGCCTGGGCTCATCACTGTGAATAATTTTTGCAGGCTCCTGGGAAAAGAATTCAGTTGGCCAGTTCTGTGATTCAGATCCAGTCCCCAGGCAAGCCTTTTTTCTAGTTCACTGGTGCAAGACTTTAAAGTAAAACATAGGCATTTTAATATTCAATACAGACATTACTACTATTTTATGCAGAGAGATTGTCTGACCCAGAGTCTTAACAACAAAATCGCCTCTTGCTTTGGACAACCAGCTAGTAAATCAGAAATAAGCCTAGAGACTTTAAATAATGCAGACAAAAGAGATGCTCTGAGATCATAAATCTTAATGGGACCAAGCTAGTATTACCACTATGTTCTTTACCAAGTAATGGAGTGAAGGATAAATACATGGACTTTATTGAAAAAAACATGAATTCTGACAATAAATAAAGCAATTATAAATTGTAGGACAAAAAGTAAGTGTGGGTATTTGGTTATGCTTTGAATAAATTAATTATAAATTATAAATTTAAACATGCATTGTGAAATATTTAGCAAAATATAGAAAAACATCCTAAATCCCACAAACCTGTAAAATATCATGTGGGATGTGGTCCAATAACTGTTGGAAAGCCACAAATGGGCATCTCAACTAGACTAGATGTTACTACCGGTAGCCGTGTGTTAATGCTATATGGATATTAAATTAGCCAAAATATTAAACTGCTAGCAAATGTTTTCACTTTCTACATTTTAGCAGAGACCTGTTGTAAAGATTCCTTCATATTACTTCAAATAAAGGAAACTACATTATTCCTTACAGTTGGATTAGGACCCAGTAGGGGAATTGGCAGAATATAAATTATAAACCTCACTCCCATATGTGTTCTATAGGAGTAGGTATGGTTCTGTAGAGCTTGTTAGGGCTTAGTGCTGACTCCATCTGGTAGACTGTCTTGTATAGAGTCATGTCATATTGGGTGGTCCCATAACATCAGAGTGTCTATTGTGCTGCCTCAATATTTGAGCACAACTGTTCTAAGTCCTTATTGCAGATAAAACCACAGGAAATGCACAATACTAAATGTCAAGAACAAACAAAACAAAAAACTATACATGACTTGACCTATGGCTTAATAGGAGGTGAATCAGCAATGAGCGCTGCTGCTTAAGTCATAATGCTATGCTTGTGAACAGAGATCGCCTCAGATCTTCGGGGTCCCGGTGTGAAATGTAGATGTGATTGTTAATGTCATAAATTGCTTGTTAAATAAAACAAATTGAAAAAAAAATGGTTTGTGGATAACCAGTGCTTGTGAGGGTTGTTGTGTGCACATATGTGAATGCGTGTGAATGTTTCTCTGTATAGTATCATTGCTTTTTGGGTGAACAGGTTCAACGTGTATCAATGTTTCTATGGGCACACTGTTGATTTATTGTTAGTATTATATTGCGCCAACATATTCTGCAGCGCGTTACAATTATACAAAGGGGATAATTTAGAGATGAAGAATGCCCTGCTCAAATGAGCTTACCATCTATGAGGATTTGAGATAGATGGATATATATTGTTACGTGGCTTTCCCATGGACACTTACCGGTAAGGTGGAAGCATGGTGAAGCTCCCGTATGAGCTGAACTGTGTGTTTGTTTGTGTACTTTGTGTTGTTTTTGCATAATGAGTATGTGTGTATATTGGTGTTCCTGAGTGGTTGTATGTTTGTATGTTGCAGTTCCTGCATGCATGCAATGTTAGCTCATGAGCCCGCAAACCTAACATATTGCAATTCCCATGAAGTTCCAGCTTTAAGGATAGCTGAACAATGCATAACCTTGTATTTCACAACATCTTCAAAGGCCACAACCAGCAGATGTTTATAAAATGCAGTTCCAATGAGCATTATCCTGGTTTGTAGGCTGGCCAAGCTATATGAGTTATCACTTACATTTTTATAACCCTTTGGGGTTCACCTATCTGCCTCATTATCTATCTCTCCCTATCTTCTTTAGCTTTCTCTCCTCCCAGTTATCTCTCCCATCTCACCAGTGAACATTTCCTTAACCTTATATCCCATAATGTCTCCTTAGTCCACTTCCTCAAGTATCTATCCCTACCTAGCCTGCCCCCACAATTTTCTCTCCCTGGTACTGGAGTAGGCAACCTTCAGCACTCCAGATGTTGTGGACTACATCTCCCCTGATGTTTTGCCAGCATTTTGCTACTTCCTGGCTATCAGGAGTGTTGATAGGTTCCAGAAACACCTAGGGCATGATCCCAATGAAAAACTTGATGACACCTACCCGAACAAAGAGGTGGGGATATGTATTGACCCATCCCCTCCTTAATATTTTATGCCCCTTCCTATTTACCCATGAACACGATTCTCCTGATGCCCTCAGGGATCTCAAAGAAAGCATAACTGGACACAAGCACATGCTACACAGAAAGGAATTGAATGTGATGCTTCCACGCTACCTAACTACTAGAGGGATGTATAATCTCTGCCATAATAATCCTCAGTGCCCCTTCATGACAGTCACTTGGTGGGATCCACCCCTTCCCTTATATAGCCTGGTGGAGCACAGTACTACTGATCTTTTATAGTAGGTGCTTAAGAAGCAGCTGACTTAAACATAATAATTAAAAACACATATTCTACTGCACCCTCCACCCACTGTAGAGCTCCAGGGCTAAAGAGCCTGAAATCTGGGGCTTCATCCCCTAAAGCCATGCTAAGCAATACCAATTATTAACTATTAAATACCGTCCCAATATGTAAACAAAACAAACAAAAATATATACCTGCAATCTCTTTTAAATCCCTGTGACATTATGGTCCTGGCTTCACAGGCAGCAGAGGTGTACCAGTTCAGGCCTGCTATCGTCCATTTTTTGTTTTTTTAGCCTAACCTGCACCACTAACTGCTTAACTAAGCTCCAAGGTTACGTTTGCTTTGTAGTGGACTCACTGGCAACCCAGGATTTACTGCTGTTGGATGTTTCGGCTGTTACAGAGTATACTAACTAGCTTATTCCACTGGCAACACACTTCAGTGGATATGATACCCTTGCCTGACTTAAACTTGGATTCCAACCAAGACCTCAGAAAGAGACAAGACACAAGCTTCTTGCTGGCAACTTGTGGATTCGCTCTTTATTTGCTGAGCTCCAAGCTTCTCTTAAGAAACACAGCGCACACAGGAAATGTATTTACAATTATTTACACCAATAAGAATACGAACTGGGATAGGAGACCAGAGCCCTGACTGAGGAATGTAAATTAGGTTAAGCTAATTATCCCCATGGGTCCTTTATTCTTATCCCAGGACACAATAACCTTGGGCATTCCAAGGGAAAGGCTAGTTTTCTCACTACATGTTAATAAACACTGCTAACACAGATTATTTTGTTACAACCCCAATCTACATTTTTAAATAACAGACCCTTGAAGGTGAGCCTTACTGTTAGCCACCATGGCTACTTTTAAATAAGAAGTTGGTTTTCCCATAAAACTCTCCAGCCTTATTCATCATGAACTGGAGACAGATTGGGAATACGTGGCTGCACTGTAACAAGAAGTACAGAAACAGGTAACTAGAACAATGCAACCATGAAAGAACAATGGAATTTTGAGTGCAGGGCTAATATTATTTATTTTTTTGGTCAATCTTTATTTTATTTGCACATATAGTACAATACAAGCATGAGATACCACAACAGCAATATCACGTAGAGCAATAACAGATATTGTAATCAAAGCACTATCATTGCAGGCAATTGAGCTGCACATTGGTTTATTTTCCATAACAGGCGAATCTTACATGTCTGGTTAACTGAAGTAGTAACATGTATGGATAGACATGGTAAAAGTAGAGAACAGTAAGGTGTACCACCCAGACAGCTCTAGTAGCAAGTCAGAGAAATCCCAACCAAGTAACAGCCCATAATTAATTCCCACACCTGGGGTATGCCAATGCAGGTAGCTAATAGCAGGAAATAATAAGTATAGAAATGATAACCAAAGAAAAACAAATGAGAGCATGTCACTGCAACATTCTACCAACTGAGATATATTATATAGCTTATCCTGGCGGTCAGCCTATCCCCTTCCCTTCCGACACAGCTTCTCTCTGCTTGTCTCCCATGCATGCCTTGGAGCCGCACAGCTGCAGAGCACACCGGCTCTCCGCTTGTATTGTAGAGCGTAGACGCGGCCTCCGCAGCTTCTGCCTCCTCCAATGCCTCAGGCGCATCAGGACAGTAGGTAAAGCCACAGGGCAGCTTTTAGTGTGACTGGACAACTTAGAGGTCTGCAATGATTCTGATAGTGAGTGCTTGGTCTGTAGCTTCATCCAGAGCGAAGAGCTCATCCAGCCGCTGGAGTGTGGTTGATGACTCACCACCATGTGGAAGGATGGTCTCAGCATCCGCCATCTTAGAAGTATCTTGGTCGGTAGTGTTGGCATCAATGATACTGTGACGACTCTTTGTGAGATTATGGGAGCCATCAGGGTGGGGACCGGGACAACCACCACCAGTCCAAACAGGAGTCAGGAACGCCTCTCCTTCCCACAGATCAGCTAGGCCTCGATTGTGCTTTGCATCTAGACTGGGTTAGAAGACCGCGGGTCACGTTCCCAGACTGGTCTGTCGATTCGGAAGTCAAATGGCCATGATGGCCAGGCCCCGCAACCCCTTATAGTTTTGTTTTTAACTGCTTTTTTGCCTCATGTGATTTCCCTTGCAGAAGCATACTTCTTTATTCTACACATCTAGCTCAAGTATTTAGGGTTAAACTCAAAAAGAAAACAATAAGCAAACACAAAATACATTTATGTTTAATAAAATACATTTTGTTTAAAATATATACAGAATGAAATCTCTACATTCAAGGCCTACAATGATTTCAATGATCTTGGGAAATTTGATCTTATTGCAGGAACACTGTGTTTCATTGTGATATTCTACATATTATTAGTAAATGTTCATATATTCCCTTGGTTTCCAGCTTCATAAAGGGAATAAATAATAAAAAAGGAAATATGGTTCATTGCTATAGTTAAACACCAACTAAAGCATTTTCTAATGCAATGTGTTTTATATTGAGAACCATTTGATGTTACATTTTAAATATATACCTGTCTGTCTATCTATTTGTGTTGGAATTTCACTGACAGTATAGCACTGTTGTGGACTCCTAGAACCTGAAGCGGACCCCCTGTATGGACAACTTCAGGTAAGTGAAACCTACCTTTCCGTGCACCATCAAGCCACTGCAAACCAAGCGACGATGTCACCATGGGAATATGACAAAGGTGGGCAATACTAGTCTTACAGCAACTCTATCAGCTGGATTAATAGTTATCTTGCATTCTTGGTTGCCATGAGCTAAAGAGAAAATAGGATGATAGTCTTAACAATATTTACCAATTCAACAAAATGTTTTGATGGCATATCCCCTATTTAAAGGCATAAAAGTATTCCTATTCCTCAACCGAGTTTTCCTTTAAAGGAACATAATAGCTATAGGAATACAAACATGAACTATAGTGTTCCTCCCTTTACTTAGATTCAGGACCCCGTAAATGTAAATAAAAATTAGGGGGGGAAAAAAGTTTTTTTTAACCTTTTTTCCAAGCTCCCTGCAGCCGATATATCTGCCCCCTCTGCTGGCTGTCAATCAGGCTACTGGTCCTGTTACTTCCTGGTTTGTTTAGCTCAGTAGAACTAAACTCAAGAGTCAGGCAATTGCTCAGATCACCTGCCTTGCAAAGACCTCTCATTGCGCTGCATTGGGAAGTCTGTGATTGGACAGACACAGAAAATCTGGTCTGGGTTAGAAGATTAAAGGCTTCATGCAAGAGATCAGCAAGCTTTTTCTTTAAGATAAACCCCTAATTGAAAAATGCATACTTAAATGCATGCATGTTTCCATTGAGTGTATATCAACTAAATAGTGATTTTTATGATTATTAATATTTGAGTGTCCCTTTAAAGAATCTAAGATTTGGAAACCACAGTGCCTAAAACAGTGTCTATAACGGCTCTTTAACCTCTTAAGACCGGAGGGCGTACTATTACGCCCTATTTTAGGCAGCTCTAAACGCCGCCGGGCGTAATAGTACGCCCTCCGGTCCCACGCCGGCGATCGCGGTTGA